AGGGGCCGCGAAGGGCAGCGAGGGGCCGCGAAGGGCCGCGAACGGGGGCCGCGAAGGGCCTCGAAGGGGGCCGCGAAGGGCCGTGAAGGGGCCGCGAAGGGCCGCGAGGGGCCGCGAAGGGCCGTGAAAGAGGCCGCGAAGGGCCGCGAAGGGGGGGTGGGCGCAAAGGGCCGCTAAGGAGCCGCGAAGGCCGCTAGGGGCCTCGAAGGGCCGCGAAGGGCAGGCGCACGGGGCGCTGCTAGGACAAACGCGAAACGCGCTTCGGGCAGGTAAGGAAAAAAAACAACTTTCTTAGTGGTGGGCCCTAAAAAAAACAGTTCCACTAGGGAACCTGCTCTATACCATGTGAGAATAATGAGAGGAATGGTTGAACTAGGAAACAGGTGGGGTACAAGTAGCAAACACAAAAGTGTTGTACCCTCTAAGGACTACCCCACTACAGCCTAAACAGACTATAGCATATATAAGTTTGACAGGCTACCCCACTATAGCCTACACAAATGTAAGCAGTATAACATTCTAACACACCCCCATGGGCAAAGTGGGGGAGAACAAGAGGTCACAAGACCAGTCAAGAAAAGCAAAGCAAGCTCATGGTGGATCACAAAGTTACCACATCGTCCGAGCACAAGCAAAGGGCCTCAAGGACAGTTCACATGCAGAGTCATATAAAAGAGAACAAACAATACAGTGATCATACCCTAGCAAGTGCAAGCATGCAGGTATTGTCAAAATTATACGCTGCACATTGTGTAGTCTGTAGTGGGGTAGCCTATATGGGGTACAACACAACTCAGGGTTAGTACTTGTACTCATCCTGCTGCTAGTTCATTCCATTCTCGTTTGTTATTCTCACAAGGAATCAGAGTAGGTTTCTTGGGCCCACCACCTGCTACACTGCTAGTATCCCCCCTAGGCCCGTCGCGCCCCTTAGGCCCGTCGTGCCACCTCACGGTGTGAGAATAATGAGAGGAATGAATGAACTAGGAAAGTGTGGAATACAAATATGAAACCTGTACCCCTTAGTGTCTACCCCACTACAGCCTACATAGACTAGGTCATATATATCTGACACACCCCCATAGGCAAAGTGGGGGAGAACTAGGGGTCACAAGACCAGTCAAGCAAAGCAAAGCAAGCTCAGGGTGGATCACAACGTCACCACACATTCCGAGCACAGGTTCAAAGGCCACAAGGCCAGTTCACATGCAGGATTATATATAAAAAGTAAACAAGCAGGTGCAGGTATATATAGATAACAGTACAAGTAAAGTCAAGAGGTAACCAAGTGTGGCCAAGTAGGCACAAGACCTAGCATAGTACAGAAGCGCTGATGATCACAAGGCTGAAGTGCCTTGGTGAAAATATCAGCAGTGTTGGCCTGAGAGGCCACGTAAGCTAGGCGCAGCTGACCACGCTGCTGCAGCTCACGAGCAAGGAAGTAACGAAGAGCAATGTGCTTCGTTCTGTGCTCCAGTCTGTGCTCCCGACACAAGGCCAGCATGGCCTTGTTGTCTACGTACACAACTGGAGGAGAACGAGGCGGCTCCTACTGGGTACCAGGAGGAAACGACCCAGTGAAGCCAGGTGGGCGGCGCAGCCAGATCTCCTCGTGCAGGCTGCCCTGTAGGAAAGCAGTGCTGAAGTCAAGAGAGTGAAGCTCGTAGTCACGCTGAGCAGCGACGTGCAGCAGAACCCGAAGAGTGGTCATCTTCGGGGTCGGGGAGAAGGTCTGAAAGTAGTCAACTCCCTGCCGCTGACTGAAGCCTCGAGCCACGTAACGCGCCTTGAAGACAGGCGGAGAACCCGGCGGCCGCTTCACCCTGAAAATCCACATGCCACTGACGATGTTCGCCCTAGGTGGGGGAACCTCGTCGACGTAGATGCCTGTGGACTTCCAGGAAGCCATCTCTGCGTCCATGGCTGACTGCCACTGAGAGGAGTAGGGACCCTCTATCGCCTCTGCGTAAGAGCGCAGGGTTGGGATGTCTGGTGCATCCGGGTCTCCCTCAGGGGCAAGCAGCATGGACACGAGATGAGGTAAAGCAGCAGCTAAACACTGGAACTCCTCCTGCCTGTCCTCAAGGACGTCCGTGCTAAGAGCACACTCACCCCCGACGGACGGAGGACAGGCAGACTCAGACTCAGCAACAAGATTAGCGGCGTAGTCTAGACGACAGTGAGCAGCGAAGTCGACAAGCTCAGCAACTAAGGCAGACGCAGCAGTGGACTCAAAGGAAGGGTCAGTGACAACAGTGGCAAGGAGCCGCGTGACAGTAGGACTGGCAGCACGAAGGGAGTCAGACTCCAGGTCAGCAAGAGCAGGAAGAGAGGACTCTGGAAGAGACGGCAAAGGAACACGCTGCGGAGCAGTGGAAGGACGCAGTGCCATCTGGTGCGTGCCCGGGACCGCAGGAGGACGCTGACGTGGAACACGACGACCAGTGCGAGCAGCACGAACAGGTGACACGGGACGCGACTCAGGCTCACGACGCTCAGCAAGACCTTCAGTAGGACCAGCGTAGGGAGAAGGAGCAGGCAGTGGGGAGGCTAGCTGTAACTGTGACTCGGACTGGACAGGCAGTGGACACTCTAAGGAAGGAGCAGGACCAGAAGAAGGCGGAAGACCAAGAACCTGCTCAAGGAGCGGAACGAAGTACGGCCGCGGCCGCGCAGCGCCTCCAGAACCAGCAGGGACAGCACCAGCACCCCCAGCGTCAGCTCCAGCTCCAGCAGCACCACCAGCACCAGCAGCACCTCCAGCAGCTCCAGTAGCGCCAACTCCAGCACCCAGAGGAGCACCGGCTCCAGCAGCACCTCTAGCTCCAGTACCTCCAGCAGCTCCAGTGGAGAGGGTAGCTCCCGCCGGGACGAAGCACCCGAAGGACCTCAAGGCCCAGCACCGTCAGGCTCCGCACCCCCACACTCAGCAACCTCAGGCTCAGCACCCCCAGACTCAGCACCCCCAGACCCAGCACCCCCAGGCTCCGCACGCTCAGGCTCAGCACCCCCAGACCCGGCACCCGCAGGCTCAGCACCCCTAGCAGCACCAGAGTCAACAGCTACCTCGACAGGCTCGACTGCATCTACCTGGGACACACCTGAGGGGGCAGGACCTTGAGGGGGGAGGGAGTCTACCGGGGGGGGACCGGGCGCGAGGAAGAGCGGCGGGGGGGGGAGGGGGGCAGCGCGGTAGGGGAAGAGACGGTAGTACGGAACCGACTCATCAAACAAGACGTCCTGGGAGGACAGAACACGGCGCGAGGTGGGGTGGTAAAACTGCCAACCAGGCGCGTCAGGGGGGAAGCCAAGGAAGACGCAAGGAAAAGCACGGGAGGACAGCTTGTCCGCAGACAAGTCACGGACGAAAGCTCGAGATCCCCAGACACGGAACGCAGACGCATCGCCAACCTTCCCCGTCCACCGCAGAGTAGGGGAGGTCTCCGGCATCGAGACCCGGGGCTGAAGGTTGATCTGATGCGCCGCGTACTGAACCGCGAACGGCCACAGAAAATGGGGAGCAGCCGCATGGATCATGGACGTACGAGCGACGTCCATGACCATGCCAATGCGGCGCTCAGCAATCCCATTTTGCTGTGGAGAGACCGGAAGCGTGAACGTCTGGCGGATGCCCTCCGCACGACAGAAGGCTCGTAGAAGGTCGGAGGAAAACTCTCCACCTCTGTCGGAGTGCAGACGCAGAACAGGAAAGTCCGAGCCGAAACTCTCTCTGAGCTGGAGACGGGCAGCGCGGATCCAGTCGATCAACACCTCAGTGACCTCACCCTTGCGGCGCAAGGGGAAGACTGTGGTGTAACGCGAGTAGTCGTCAACCACCAGCAGGAAGTAACGCTCATGACCCTGTCTACGGACGCGGGCTGGGCCCCACACGTCCATATGGAGAGTCTGCAGGGGAGCCTCTGTCGGAGGAAACTCGGAGGAGTGAGGAGCGGCGCGCTGCCGCCCCTCAACGTAGGGAACGCAAGTAGGGGCAGGCCCCGGGGGAAGGGGAGGGAGGGACCGGGGGAGACCACAGACAAGGACACGGGAGGCCATGCCTCGGAGACGAGGCAGGGAGGGGTGACCAAGGCGGTGGTGCCAGAGGAGAGTCTGGTGAGACAGGAGACGACACGAGCAAGGGGCAGACTCAGGACCAGACCTGGACGCTGCAGCAAACACCTGACCCGACGCAGCTACCTGGCCAGACGCAGGAAACCGGAGGAGACTCGGTAGTCAGTGTGAACAGGCTCGAGCCCGGCTGACAGGTAAACGTGGTCAAGTGTCGGCCCGTCCGAGCACACGTGCAGTGGGTCACTCGCTGACTCGCAGGAGTGAACTGGTCAACCCCCCCATCCTGTAGGTCAGCACCACTCACCAAGTTCGTAGAGAACGAGGGGAGGTAAAGACCCGACAGGGAGCCAGAAGGGGCCACCGGACACGGTAGGACAGTGGAGTAGTGGGCAAGGACAGGACCCCAAGAGGGGTCTGCCAGGGAGACTGCAACCGGCCGACTGAGCGGCGTGAGTGTGGTGCGGTCTCGAAAGAAGGAGCGGGAAGCACCCGAGTCGAGGGTGAAGGTGTGCAAAACTTGAGCCGACGCGGTACCTGAGAGAGCAGACTCACCAGCACCTGAAGCAGCAGACTCACAAGCACCTAGAGCAGCGGCCTCAATGCCCGGGTCAGGCGGAACATACAGGTATTAGTCACCCTCAGCACTAGTAGACACAACATACATGGCAGCCGGAATAGCATCATAGTCAAGATCAAAGATAGCTACACCCGACTTGAGCAGATCACCCCAGCGAGGGATCTCAGTGGCGCGAGGGAACTGGATACGCCAGGCGTCCGTCAGGCGGCCAAAGCAGTGCAGGGTGGCGTGCGGCCCGCCGCACGGCTCCCCAGTGCGGTCGCCTGTACGCAGGACGTAGGTACAGGGACCAGCACCCCCAGGCCGCTGGCGTGCAGCGTACCACTCACGAAGCTGCTGGGGCGACGGAGTCTCACGAGAGCGCTGCTGCTGCTGGCGCTGAACACCACCAAAGTCTCCCCGCTGCACAGCTCCACCCCGACCAGCTCCACCTCCGCCGCCGCCGCCGCCGCCGCCTCCACCCGCACCGCCGCCGCCGCCGCCGCCGCCTCCACCTCCACCGCCGCCACCGAAGCCTCCACCCCCGCCACCACTCCCACCCCCACCCCCTCCGCCGCCTCCACCGCCACCACCGCCGCCCCCGCCAGCTCCTCCAGCGCCCTTGCCCCCCTTGCCCTTGCCGTTGCGGCGCCTCCCACTAGGAGCAGACGCAGTGCCGACCGACTCGGTGCCAACGAGGTCGACAGCAGCAGCAGAGGCAACAGAGGGCAAAAGGGGGACGTGGGAACACCCCTCAAAGAAAGGGGCACGAGGGTCACCACGAGAGGCTCCTACAGCAACTATACTCTTCTCAGCTGCAAAGAGGCGCTCCTCGAGGAGGTCAATGGTGAGTGTGGTGGGGCAAACAGAGAGGAAGTGGTCCCTGACCGAGCGAAGGGAGTCAGGGAGCCGGGTGACTAGGTAGTAGAGGGTGATGTACATGGGGGGGGGGTTCTTGGCGCAGAACTCAGCAGGAAGCGCAGCGCGGTAGCGGTTGTCACTAGTGCGGAGGTGCGTAAGGAGGTCAGCGACTGTGGCAAAGGCGGCAAGGTCAGGGAACAGGTACGGCAGCATGAGGCGACTAAGGGCAGCAGTGGCAGGGGAGGAGTAGCGTGCAACTACAGCGTCGTACAGAGTCTTAGCACTCTTGTACTGACTAAAGTGCGCGCGCTCAGTGGACGGTAGGTGACTGCGCACAGCAAGGCGGGCAGCAACATCGCGCGTGGTCCATTGCGAGCAAACAGTACTGTCAGCATCAGTAGCAGGGGCAGTAGAGGCGCCAGACGTGAGATCGAACAGTGAGAGACCATCCTTGCTATCGCACTGTAGGAAAAGCTGCAGATCATCTACCCAGACCTCAAAGTCGACCGCTCGACCCTCAGCATCGAATGTGAGTACATTAGGGTTTGCCATAGCAGCAGGAGCAGCAGCAGTGGCCTAGCTGCAGCAGCAGCAGTGGCCTAGCTGCAGCAGCAGCAGTAGCAGCACGACTCGGCAGGGTGGGGCGGTTCGGTAGGGCGGCTCGGCTAGGCAGGGCGGCGCGGGTGCAGCAGCACGCGGGTGCGGCGGTGCACTTACCAGTGGCAGAAGAGGTGGGCCGCTACTGGTGGGGCTGGGCCAGGGCGCGTCAGCAGGGCAGGGGGCCGCCACAAGGAAGGGGCCGCGGCGAGGCGGCAGGTCAGAGCCGGGACAGGCGCGTCGGCAGGGCGGCTGCAGGCTCGGCAGCGGCAGCAGGGACGCTGTGATGGCAGCTGCTGCTGCAGCAGGGACGGCGACGGCAGCTGCTGCAGGGACGGCAGCTGCTGCAGGGACGGCGACGACGGGGCGGCAGGGCCGCTACGGCGACAGCAGGGGCGACGGTAGCTGCTGCAGGGGTGGCGACGACGGGGCAGCTTAGAGCCGCGAAGGGCCGCGAAGGGGGGGGGCGCGAAGGGCCGCTAAGGGGCCGCGAAGAGCCGCGGAGAGTGCCGCGAAGGGCCGTGAGGGGGGCCGCGAAGGGCCGCGAAGGGGCCGCGAAGGGCCGCAAGAGGGGGCGCGAAGGGCCGCGAAGGGGCCGCGAAGGGCCGCAAGAGGGGCCGCGAAGGTGCCGTTAGGAGCGCGACGGGCCGCGAAGGGGAGGGCCTCTAAGGGCGGGCCGCTAAGGGCAGAGCGCGCGACGGGAGGGCAGGCGCACGGGGCGCAGCTAAGACAAGTGCGAAGCGCGCTTCGGGCAGGTAAGGAAAAAAAAATTCGTAGTGGTGGGCCCTTAAAAAAAAACGGTCCCACTAGGGAACCCGCTCTATACCATGTGAGAATAATGAGAGGAATGAATGAACTAGGAAAGTGTGGAATACAAATATGAAACCTGTACCCCTTAGTGTCTACCCCACTACAGCCTACATAGGCTAGGTCATATATATCTGACACACGGCCCCTAGGCCCCGTCGCTCATGGCCCCTCGGCCCCGTCGCTCACGGCCCCTAGGCCCAGTCGCTGCCCCTACCTTGGCCCCTTGGCCCCGTTTGCCTCGTCGCCCCTACTTGCGCCCCAAGGCCCCGTTGGCCCCGTCGCCCCTAGCCGCGCCCCTTCGGCCCCGTTGGCCCCGTCGCCCCTAGCCGCGCCCCTTCGGCCCCGTTGGCCCCGTCGACCCCGTCGCCCCTAGTCGCGCTACTCGGCCCCGTTGGCCTCGTCGCCCCTAGCCACGCCCCTTTGGCCCCGTTGGCCCCGTCGCCCCTAGCCGCGCCACTCGGCCCCGTTGGACCAGTCGACCCCGTCGCCCCTAGCCGCGCCCCAAGGATGCGTTGGCCCCGTCGACCCTGTCACCCCTAGCCGCGCCCCTAGGCCCCGTTGGCCCCGTCGCCCCTAGCCGCGCCTCTCGGCCCAGTTGGCCCCGTCGCCCCTAGCCGTGCCCCTTCGGCCCCGATGGCCCCGTTGCCCCTAGTCGCGCCCCACTCGGCCCCGTTGGCCCCGTTTGCCCCATCGCCCCTAGCAGCGCCCCTCGGCCCCACTGGCCCCGTCGCCCCTAGCCGCGCCCCCCAGCCCCGATTGGCCCCATCGCCCCTAGCCGCGCCCCTCGGCCCCACTGGCCCCGTCGCCCCTAGCCACGCACCTCGGCCCCTAGGCCTCTTTGGCCCCTCGGCCCCGCCCATTGGCCCCTCGGCCCTGCCACCCTCTTGTTTGGCCCCTCGCCCCCCTAGGCCCCTTGGCCCCCCTCTTGACCTCGTGTTTGGCCCCTCGGCCCCACCCCTTGGCCCCTCGGCCCCTAGTCTCCTCGGCCCCTCGGCCCCTAGGACCCTTGGCCCCTCGGCCCCCCAGCCCCGCCACCCTCGTGTTTGGCCCCCTGGCCCCTTAGCTACTAATGCTACTGCTCCTGCTGCTACTGCTGCTACTGCTGCTCCTGAGTCGTGCGCCACTATGGCTTCGCTTAGGGTTCCAGCGTTCAATCAAGAGGGCAGACCGGTTGCATTTGACACGTGGCACGACGATCTGCAACTGTACCTACTGAGCGATAGTAAGGACAGTGTCTCACTGTTTGACCACGTTTCTGGTGCCGCTCCAGCCCCTCCTGCCACAGATGACAATTTGACTCGTTCCCAGTGGCTGTCTCGTGACGCTACTGCCCACTTAGCCATTCGCAACCACCTGCCCGTGACCGAATGTGCTCACTTTGGAGAGCACAGGACAGCACATGCCCTGTACGACGCTGTCGTTGCTCGCTACTCCTCCGCTGCCACTGCTGCTCTTGGCAGGCTGCTACTGCCCTACTTGTTCCCTGAGCTGTCGGCTTTTGCCACAGTAGCGGACCTGGTTACCCACCTGCGCTCTAGCATCGCTCGCTACCGCGCTGCCCTCCCAGCCGAGTTCCTTGCAGGGAACCCGCCCCCGATGTACATCACTCTCTACTTCGTAGTCACTCGCCTCCCTGACTCCCTTCGCTCTGTCAGGGACCACTTTCTCACCCTCGACCCCACCTCCCTCACTGTTGACCTCCTCGAGCAGCATCTCCTCGCAGCTGAGACTAGTGCAGTTGCTGTAGGTGCTGCTCGTGGCACTCCGCGCTCGCCCTTCTTTGAGGGGTGCTCCCCCTCCCCCCTTTCCCCCTCCTTCGCCTCTGCTGCTGCTGCAGACGTCTCTGTTACTGAGGACGTTGGTGCTGCTTCGACGAGTGCGAAGCGCCGCAACAGCAAGGGCAAGGGTGGCCAGGGTGGTGGAAAAGGCAGCGGTGGTGGTGGAGGTGGCAGTGGGAGCGGTGGTTGGGGCAGCGGTAGAGGTGGTGGAGGCAGTGTAGGTGGTGGCGGCGGTGGGACTGGTGGCGGCAGTGGGGGCTCTGGTGGCGGCGATGGAGGCAGCAGAGGGAGTGGCGGCAGTGGAGGTGGTGGGACTGTTGGTGGTAGGTCCGGACCTCGGCATGGAGGCCCTGGTGGTGGTCGGGGCCAGGAGCAGCAGCGTCGGAGCAAGACCCAGTCGCCCTAGCAGTTCCGTGAGTGGTTAGTTCAGCGTGGGCCGAGTGGGGGTAGTGAGAGCTGGCCGCATGTCATTCGCACGGGAGTCCGTGCGGGCCAGACATGCGGGAGGCTTCACACTGAGCACCACTGCTTTGCCCGCCTTGACGACGCCTGGCGTGCTGAGTTTGGTGACGACGTCGAGCGCCCTCACTAGGCGGAGTTGCTTAGGTCGGGAGTTGCTATCTTTGACCTAGACTATGATGCTATTATCTCTGCCATGTATGCTTTGTGTTTTAGTGCTGAGGGTGACTGTTACTGATGTGTGCCACCTGACCCAGGTATAGCGGCTGCTGCTCTAGGTGCTAGTGTGAGAATAATAGGAATGAATGATTGAACTAGAAAGCAGAAGGGTACAAGTAGAAAACACAAAAGTGTTGTACCCTCTAAGCCCTACCCCACTACAGCCTAAACAGACTATAGTAGATATAAGTTTGACACACCCCCATAGGCAAAGTGGGGGAGAACAAGGGGTCACAAGACCAGTCAAGAAAGACAAAGCAAGCTCAGGGTGGATCACAAAGTCACCACACAGTCTGAGCACAAGCAAAGGGCCATAAGGCCAGTTCACATGCAGAGTTATATCAAGGAAAGCAAACAATACAGTGAACACAACCTAGCAAGTGTAAGCATGCAGGTATAAGTATATAGAGTACAGTACAAGTAGAGTCAAGAAGTCAACAAGTGAGGCACAGTAGGTACAAGACCTAACACAGTACAGAAACGCTGATGATCACAAGGCTGAAATGCCTTGGTGAAAACATCAGCAGTGTTGGCCTGTGAGGCCACGTAAGCAAGACGAAGCTGGCCACGCTGCTGCAACTCTCGAGCAAGGAAGTAGCGCAGAGCAATGTGCTTCGTTCCGTGCTCCAGTCTGTGCTCCTGACACAAGGCCAGCATGGCCTTGTTGTCGACGTACAGAACTGGAGGAGAACGAGGCGCCTCTCCCAGGTCGGTCAGCAGGTAGGTAAGCCAGGGAAGCTCCTGTGCAGCCATGGCTCCAGCGTAGATCTCAGCCTCACAACTGGAGCTGAGAACAGAAGAAGAGCGGGTAGACCGCCAAGAGACAGAGCCGGAGCCAAGACTGAAGGTGTAACCCTGTGACGACCGCTGCGTAGCCAAGTCGCCAACCCAGGAGGCGTTAGCGTGACCAGTGAGGACAACTCGAGCCCGTCCTCCAAGCACGAGCCCCATGCCCGATGTACTGCACAAGTATCGCAACACCCTCTTCGCAGCATCCCAGTGCACCTTTCGGTGCCTGCCGGGAGCCACGTAGCGAGCCAGAAGGCTGAGAGGGTATGCGAGGTCAGGTCGTGTGCAAGTCATCAGGTACATGAGGCAGCCCACAAGCTCTGGATACGGGCCACTCGGCTCTACGGACTCGTCCGAAGGTGGAGCTGAGAGCGAGTGACCGGTAGGCAGAGGAGTGGACTGTGGCGAGGAGTACGTGAAGCCGAAGCGCTGAAGGACCTGCTGCACCATGTGTGACTGAGTCAAGGTAATGGTGCGCTGTGCTCTGTCCCGGGTGATCCGCAAGCCAAGATAGCTTGTCAGCTCACCCAAGTCTGTGCACGTGTGTCTCTTCTGCAGCTCGGACTTCACATGGGCGAGTGCCTCCGTGTCAGCAGTAGCAAAGACAAGGTCGTCTACGTACACAAGAACGTAGAACGGCGGCAGAGTAGCGTCAGTGCGTAGAAACAGAGAAGGGTCAGCAGTGGAAGGAGCAAAACCAAGAGCAGCAAGAGTCGTCCTGAGCGTGTCGTGCCACTCACGGGGCGCCTGGCGGAGACCGTAGACTGGCCGCCGGAGGCTCCACTGGGTACCAGGAGGAAACGACCCAGTGAAGCCAGGTGGGCGGCGCAGCCAGATCTCCTCGTGCAGGCTGCCCTGTAGGAAGGCTGTGCTGAAGTCAAGCGAGTGGAGCTCGTAGTCACGCTGAGCAGCAACGTGCAGCAGTACCCGAAGAGTGGTCATCTTTGGGGTAGGGGAGAAGGTCTGAAAGAAGTCAACTCCCTGTCGCTGAGTGAAGCCACGTGCAACGTAACGCGCCTTGAAGGCAGGCGGAGAACCCGGCGGCCGCTTCACCCTGAAGATCCACATGCCACTGACGATGTTCGCCCCAGGTGGGGGAACCTCGTCTACGTAGGTGCCTGTGGACTTCCAGGAAGCCATCTCTGCGTCCATGGCTGCCTGCCACTGAGAGGAGTAGGGACCCTCTATCGCCTCTGCGTAAGAGCGCGGGGTCGGGATGTCTAGTGCATCCGGGTCTCCCTCAGGGGCAAGCAGCATGGACACGAGATGAGGTGAAGCAGCGGCAAAGCACTCAAGGTCCTCCTGCCTGTCCTCAAGGACGTCCGTGCCAAGAGCACACTCACCCCCGACGGACGGAGGACAGACAGACACAGACGCAG